AGACCAGCCTGGCCAACATGGTGAAACCCCATCTCTACTAAAAATACAAAAATTAGCTGGGCATAATGGTGTGTGCCTGTAGTCCCAGCTACTTGGGTGGCTGAGGCAGGAGAATCGTTTGAACCCGGGAGGTGGAGGTTGCAGTGAGCCGCAATTGTGCCACTGCACTCCAGCCTGGGTGACAGGAGTGAAACTCCATCTCAAAAAAAAGAAAAAAGAGATGATTTTTTGCCATGTTGCCCAGACTGGGATTGAACTGGGCTCAAGTGATCCGCCCACCTCTGCCTTCCAAAATTCTGGGATTACAGGCATTAGCCACAGTGTCCAGCAGAGATCCCAAATGCTATGCAGACTCAGTTTCCCTTGCTGGAAAGTGGGAAGAATGGGAGGGGTCTGCCCACACCCGACAGGGAGCCGGGGGCCTCCCACTGCCCCACGTTGCTCTCCAAGGGGCTGCCGTTATTTTCGTGGGGAAGTCAGATATCTGAGTACAGGTTCCAGTCCACCTCTGCCCCTCATGGCCAGGTTCCCCCTCAAGGCCTCAGTTTCCTCATCTGTAGCATGGGTTTTGTGGCTGCCCTCAGACACCGATTCATCATGATTTGGGAGTAGGTTGAAGTCCCAGCTCTGGCCTGGTCTCAGCGTCTCCCCAGCCCTCAGACTTCCCATCTCCAGAATGGGTCTGCGGGGAACGGGGTGGCCCCTCTCCCAGCTCTGAACCTTCGTGGCACAGTGTCTGCTTCTCTGGTCTCTGTTTCTGTATCAGCACAGTGGGTTCATGGAAAGGGGAAAGGAGGGAGAGGACTCCACCTGGGATCTCTCCTCCCTCTGATTAATCCTGGTACCCTTTAATCCCATATCTTTTGATGCAGAAATCCCCCACCTTTCCATCAGGCCCTGACCTCCAGGCGGGCCTAGTGTCTGTCTGTGGACCTCAGCCAGGCCTGTCTGTACATCTGCTCTGTAGGAATAAACTTTTGTACTCATTTTTTGTTTTCCCAAGACGGAGTCTTGCTCTGTCACCCAGCCTGGAGTGCAGTGGCATGATCATCTCGGCTCACTGCAACCTCCGCCTCCCGGGTTGAAGCAATTCTCCTGCCTCAGCCTCCTGAGCAACTGGGATTACAGGCATGGCACCACCACACCTAGCTAATTTTTGTATGTTTAGTAGAGACAGAGTTTTACCATGTTGGCCAGGCTGGTCTTGAACTCCTGACTTTGTGATCTGCCTGCCTCGGTCTCCCAAAGTGCTAGGATTTTTTTTTTTTTTTTTGGGACAGAGTCTCACTGTGTCACCCAGGCTGGAATGTAGTGCTGAGATCTCGGCTCACTGCAACCTCTGCCTCCTGGGTTCAAGCAATTCTCCTGCCTCAGCCTCCTGAGTAGCTGGGACTACAGGCATGAGCCACCATACCCAGGTAATTTTTTGTACTTTTAGTAGAGATGAGGTTTCACTATGTTGGCCAAGCTGGTCTCAAACTCCTGACCTCAAGTGATCCGCCCACCTCAACCTCCCAAAGTG